CAATGGGCTACCACCTGAAAAACAAGTTTTTGTTGAGTACACAGGATACAATTTTTATTGCATAATTTATCATGTCCCCGGATAGTGCGTTTTCATTCTTCCCGTAAGTTCGATTCGGTGGTGAACTGGTGTGGGTGGTTGGCGGTTTTTTCTCCAGGGTGGTTGATGGGTACTCTGGTGTGTAAATGGATGATGAAGATGAGTACTTGGAGTGCAGGGACTCCCTTTGTGTTCCGATGGTTTTGTTAGATTGATTTTTTAAGGTGGTGGGAGGGGAGAGGGGGAAATTCCACATGCTTGCAACGAGAGTGTGTTGGGAGGTGGGTGGACTCTTTGATTCACATGTAGATTCCTTTTTTCTTGGTTTTGACGTGGAGAAAAAAGGGGGCGAACTTTGGGGTGTAGGTGCAAGTGATTCATGAGTAAGGATTGGGGAAGGGTGGGAGGTATGATGTGCAAATGGTTTCCGGGGACCTCTGACGTACAGGTGTTTGGTGGTCCCATCTCCGGGCAAATCATTCTGCTACGGTCCGGAGTTGCTCTTCCTCTGTGCTGTATCAAGACCTTGGAGTGAATAAATAGGTTTGATAGAGTGGTGAGATTGTCCCGAGAACTTAGACATAGACGATTGATTACTTGATCGAGTGTTGTTGAAGGAGGAAACATGTGGCCGCTTCAAACACTCAGGACCTACGAAGAATACTGTACTTTCTGCACCACTACCACGGTGGCAACTCCCTGCTGATTAAGCACCACTCTCTTACCAAATCCTTTGTTTGTACTTATTATGCCTTTTGTTCTAGCCGCTTTAGTGTCGAGGGTGCAGTTTAGCCCAAAACACGAGAGCTGTCCGAAAAAGAAGGTGAAAATGGTCATTGATAAGAAGAAGTACTCGTTCTTTTGTTTAGTCTTAAACTTAAACTGGGTGTAAACAACGTTACACTCTATTAGTTTTTATCAAAGCACTAGTGGTACATAATAATCGAATGCATCTTTGACTTTAAATACCCCGACCTTCACACAAAAAGGGTTAAAGCTAGAAGTGCATTGAATATTGCAACGTTTTTGTTTTGTTCAAAAGAATAATTG